ATTTCAAATAACTTATTAACTATACATCTATTTTCTCATTCATTTGTTAATTGCTTACTTATTTATTTATTTATTCATTCATTCATTCATTTATTCATCAATCTATTCAATCGTATTCATTCTAATGAGTAATTTTAATAAAACAAAAAATTTGAAGACAAAAATTTGTAAATTATAAATGTTTAAAGTAATCAGAAAATTTAATTAAGAGCTATAGGAAATCTAATTAGGAAATGTTATCATTCATTAAATCAGTGTTATAAGGTTGTGAGGATTGACATAAGGGAAAAAAGAAAAATTTTCTATTTTTAGTTTTAATTTTTTCTAAATTCCTTCAACTATTAACAGTTTTAAAGTTAGTAAATGAATTAAAAAATTTTTTGACAAAAAATGCGAAACTATTTTTTCCACTTTATTTCATTATTACTTTCGAACAATGAATTAAATTTTATATTAAGTAAAAGTTCAAATGGAAAAATATTATCGGCTTATCAAAATATTGATTTTCAAATTTCAATTCAAATTTTGGCTTTAAAATATAAAATTATATTTTAGATCATTGTAAAAATCATATCAAATGTATAAATAATGGATATCAACATCCAAAAGATTGTTATCGTTGCATATGTCCATCCGGTTACGGTGGACGATACTGTGAACGACGGGTTCGTTTTGTTTTTAATTATGTATTAATTATCAATTATTGAAACATTTTTGCATTTATTATTGCCAATATATTTCCAAAAATTAAAAAATATTGATTTAAAAGAGTTAAAAAATAATTGACCACTTTTGTTTCAAATTTGATAATATTTTTGTTGGAAAAAATAATTAAAAATTTATTGAATTATCGTAGGAACCAAAATAATGCGTAATATCCAGATAAAAATTATCAAAATTATCAAATAATCATTTCAAATTTTTAATTAGTGTTAATTTTGGCAAGAATGAATCAAAATATTTTCTCATAATACTATTATAAAAATAGCAAGATTTCTTAGTTTTTTTTTCTTGTAATGCTTTTAGAAAAAATTAATAAAATTAAACCTGACATGAAATTATTTAATTGAGGCAATTAATTGATAAATCGGGACAATTTTTCGAAGTAATTAATTAATCATAGAATTCCGATGTCGTTGTTTGTATGATAAGTGCATAATTTATTAAATAAGTAATCACAAATAATTTCAAATAATAAGAATGTATGAAGTGATAATTGCAAATGATATGATCAGATGATAATAAGAGAGGAATTAATTTTAGAAAATTTCATTTGCATAATTTAAAAATAAAAGTTTTTTTAATCATAATTGATAACTTCTTTGTCTTTAATTATTTTTGATTTTATTTTAATCATTTTGCTATTAAAATGGAAGGAAAGCAATTTTATTGCGTTTGTTTTCAATCTTTTGTAATAAACTAATTAAACCAATTAATTAACTCATCAAATTAAACCAATTAAGCTAATTAAGGCTGATTCATTCGGTTGTGGCGATGATTTGCGCGCAACATTTGAATGGCAAACATTGAATGCAAGAATGGGTAGATCTGGAAGATACAATGAAGACATGTCATATTGCCATTGGTGGATTCAGGTAATTTTACCTTTATTTCATATCCAATTAAGATAAGACTCTTTTCGTAATTGCTATTTTTGAGATAAATGCCAAATTACTTACTGTTACCATTACTTTTTTTTATTGCTATTGCTATTGCTGTTGCCATTATTATTATCATTATTACTATTATAGTAATAATGTTATTGTCATTATTACGATTGTTATTATTATTACTGTTGTTATTATCATTTCTGTTATTATCACTATTATTATTTACTACTATTATTATTTTTACCATTGTCATTTTTACTGTCATTATTATTATTACTTTTTCCAACAATAATTATTATCATTGTTTTCGCCACAATTAAAGTTATTGTTACCATTTTACACAGTTCAATTTGCTGCTTCTTTTTAATTTATTTTTAATTTATCAAA